TGCTCCACACAGGGAGAGGGCAGAAGAGACCGTGGCATGGTCCTCTCTGACCTCTACATGGCAGCAGGTGCAGAACGCCAGCCTATGTCTCTTATGCTGAGCTCAGTAATGTGTTTTTTTTTCCAGTTTTGCTTTTAAGACTTCGGGACATGGAGAAACCCATCACGTTTACTGGTGCTTTGTGCTCCCAGCTAATCACCCTCTCCGGGGAAAAAAAAACGTTCACCTTCGTTCGAACTGGGATTCGCCTGGATTTGATTCCCACCCGTTGGAGCTCATTATTATCCATCTCTGCTCCAGTAAAGAGTGCACCATGTGCACCTGACTTTCTGCACCCCCTGGGTTTGCAGACTGCGGTACGCTGTAAGCCTTCCATGCATGGGAAGATTATTTGCAGATCCAGAAGGATACAGGATTGCTTCCCTAGTCCATCAAGGCAATGAGGGGCTGCGCCCAGTGATCGTTCAGTACAGAGCTAGGCATGTGCGTGTCTCTGGTGAACGGCACTGCACGCAATGGGGAAGGCAGGGCCAGGGCCTGGCAGCACAGCTGGGAATTGTTGAACCTTTAGGAAAGGGAGATGGCTGCGGCTGTGCGAGCAGGCAAGGGGGGCAAGGGAGGGCTTCTAGCTGGAAGGGTGGGGTGGGAAGATTAGGGTTTGCATAGCACATAGCACTTACCATCTATTGGGCTCAAAGCAAAACTACCCCTATTTACACATAAGGGCACAGATAAGTGAAGTGACTTGCCTGAGGTGACACAGTGAGGCAATGGCAGGGCAAGGGTGCCTGGTACTCTCTCATGCCCAGCCCTGTATTTCCCAAGGGATCACGTTATTTCGCTAATCACACGGGCGAGCTGCTTGGACACACTACAGTGACCCTGGGGTCAACTGCCTTTACACTGGGGTAAGCAAGGAACAGACCTAAGCCGTGTCACCAGTGTAACCAACTTGGATCCAGTGTAAAGGGACGCCCAGGAAACATGGGGGGTAAAATTACACTGGTGTAAGTGTCGTGTGTCAGCTTTTATCCCCGGGGCAGCTGTTTGCTCTTGGCCAGGAGGCTGTGACGGACTCTCCTGCTTCCTGGTGTTGAAGTGGTTTAATGAGGTATAGGTTGCGTTGGTCTAAGGACACAGGCAGACAAGTTTCTTTGGGTAAATGTGATATCTTTTATTAGACAAACTCCAATAGTTGGAAAAATTCTTCTTTGCAAGCTTGCAAAGCATTTTCCCAACTATTGGAGTTGGTCTAATAAAAGATATCAGATCTTTGCAAAGAACCAGGTCTGCCGAAGTGGTTTAATGGCACCTATTGTGAGCAGCTCCTCCTCTGCCTGCCCCGGCCCCTGGGGGCATTCACATCAGCGTACAAACCCGGTGGGCCTGGCACTGCAGAGAGCTGCCCTTGCTCTCCCACCAGAACCCACAGCAGTTGGGTTAAAAAGGCCCAAAAGCAGCCACAGTCCTGACCCCCCTTTATTTGTGCAATGAAGCGCTTGCCCAATGAAGACCAGGCTTCCCTTGGCAGGAGGTGCCCTCTGCTTCCCTAGCATGGGCAGGATGAAGGCTCAGGAATGATTTGCTCTCCAGGGATTTAAAGCCACCGTGCATCTCGAGCATCTGCAACCCTCCCTCCCCACCGTCTCGCCCAGAAAGGCGGTCTATGGAAGAGATGCCACCGCTGCTCCTCCATCTCCATGCAGACAGCAGCTCCCACCGGAGCCCCATTTCCATGGCTGTTTCTGCTGACCCCGTGGTGCTGGGTGCCTGATTTCATGGCAGGGGCAGGTGCCCTCGCTCCCCACTTCTTGCATCTAGGCAGGGGGTTGGACTGGATGACTCTCCAGGCCCTTTCCAGCCCTGGGATTGCATGGGAACCAGGCTGCACTGACACATGCTTGGAGAACAAATGCTAGCACAGCTCAGAGCTTGTCACTCTCTTAAACCCAAGTGCAAGTTGCTGGGCCAGCAAACGGCTCAACAAAGCCTGCGTGAAAATCGGCAGGCAGGTGCTTATTGCTGCCTCATAGCGATAAGCTGCCTACCACCCCTCAATGGGGAGAAATCCCATATCTTCTTGGATATAACATGCACTCCCCCTCCCCAAAAACCAGCTGCTGGAAATTGCAGTGCACGTTATATGTGAGAAATAAGGGATGAGCAGTTTCTGCTGGGCAAACGTGACAGTCAAATCTGTACGTGACTCAGAAAGCAGAACGATGAGCGGGGAGCCTTGCTCCTGAGCTGCCGCTACTCAGTTATTACTACATAGTCTTTTTTCTCCCCTTCCAAAACAAGGTGTCTCTCTGATTTCAGGGCATGTTGTATGCAAAAAATACAGCAATCTGATCATTGCTTTGGCACGGCAGCAGTGTGCCATGCCCAAGAATATCCCTACAGTCAAATCCAGGTTCGCTATGGGAATACATAGGAGTCCATGCAACTATATATAGGGACAAGCATACCTATGCACCAGGGTGTACCTACTTAGCTTTAATCTTGCTAGCTGGGCTAACAGTATCAGTGCCGATATTACCAAGGATGTCAGAAGGGGTTGGCAGCCTGAATGCATGCCCAGCACCCCTGTCAGAGCTGGCACTGCTGGGCCCTCACTGCTGTTGGTACCTGAGCTAGTCAGGGGAAGGTCAGCCCAGCTAAGCCTGCCTGGGCTGAAATAACACCCTCGCTTGGCTGTGGAGACCAACTCTACCCCTGCTTGGGTCCCATTTCCAGGGGAAAAGGCATAAGCCTCTCCGGCCTGAAGAGCAGGGGCCTCGGACCTGTGGCAGGGAATAAAAAACATAGTTAACAAGGGCACAGATGAGCATCTCTGCCAATGCAGCACCTCTAGGAAGATGAGGAGTATGCTGTGACCTTCCTCCACCCCGCGGAGGTTGCCAAACCCAGGCATTGCCCGGTCCAGCCTGCCCAGCCCTCCACACTGAAGCCCATGCTGAATGCTTCAGCATGGGTAAGGACTTCCCAGACTTATCCAATGCTAGGCCACTGCAGATGCCATCCAGGTCCCATGGAAGAGGCTGATTTACTTCTCCATGCAGCTCTTTGCCAGTAAAATCCTCTAAGGGAGCAGCCACCCAATGCTCAGCATTGCAGACCATGGTATAGACAGTGCTGGGATATATTTAGCACGTAATCCTGTCCATCACATGAGCACGAGAGAAAATCAAAGGCAAAGAAAAACACATTCCTCAGCTAAGAGGATCCTCTAGTTAACCTTAGAGCTGTTTGGCACTTTCCTTGTCAGAAGCTGCTATTCTGCACAGACTTAAAATCATAGTATTAAACAATCACAGACAAGGAGGGCTGGAAGGGGCCTCGGGAGGTCACATCTAGTCCAACCCCCTGCTCCAAGCAGGACCAGCCCCAACAAATCATCCCAGCCAAGGCTTTGTCTTAAACACCTCCAAGGATGGAGACTGCACCACCTCTCCGGGTAGCCTGTTCCAGTGCTTCACCATCCTCCTCGGGAGAGAGTTTTCCCTAATATCCAACCTCAACTTCCCTTGCTGCAGCTTGAGCCTATTGCTCCTTGTCCTGCCATCTGCCCCCACTGGGAACAGCCCAGCTCCATCCTCTTTGCAGCCCCCCTGCAGGGAGGTGAAGCCTGCTATTCAATCCCCCTCGGTCTTCTCTTCTGCAGACTTCACCCCCTGAGGGTGTGTATAAGACTCTACAGGATGGGGCCAAACTCCAGCGTTAGTGCCCATGTGAGAATATTTTTGGCTGTTCCTGGGCACAACTAGCTGAGGCTGAAGAGAAGCCACGTTGCTTTCTTCCCTACACAAATCTGAAGCGTGAGGACTGATAACGCACAGGCACAGGCCCAAACTCAGCATTTGCTTCCAAATCGGGATCCCAACGTCAGCCGGGGCCCCTCCCTAACAGTGAAACTGCAGCGCCTTGCGTGGCAGCGCTCCCGTCCCCTCCGGACTCCATCTCAACCGCCTGCATCCTGCGGCAGTGAGTTCCCCACATTAACCAAACCAGTCATCTACCGAAGAGGTGCTGAATGGACCTCAACCATGCAGCCCAGCATCCAACAGAGAACCACGCTTACCGCACGGGAGCAGGGCTTGCCATCACCCAAGCTCAGCCTTCAACCTACCGGGAAGCTCGTGGCTCATAGCCTGAAGATGGGCTCGTTTTGCCCAGGAAAGCAAACATCTGAGGCAAGACTTGAGCCCCGAGCGTGGTGTGTTTCGTGGGTGGGGGACACAGCACACTGAATGAATGCCGGGCTACCACGAATGACCAAACCCCAGTAGGAGGAAGGGCGGTGTGTCACACATGCACACGAAATTGCACACCCACAGTTCCACGACCGCGATTCACAAGCAAACAGTTCTAGCAACAAGAGTCCGACCCTTCTCACAAATAAATAACATCTGAAAAGACTGTCCAGCTCCTTCGTTGTCCCTCCCATCCCCAACGAGTCCCCCCTGAACCAGGAAACAATCTCACCGAAGAAAATGCCTAACACACCTCTGATGTTGGATGAGCGGGTTTCCCCTGAAAATGACTTTAAATACTATGGCCGAAGGGTGGGGGAATAACTGTGCTAGCAGCAAACCGGGAACAGACATGTTCAGTCTTCAGACATTAAACTCCAATACAACAGTCCTTAAGCATAGTGTATAAACATGCGGAGTATATATATTTTTCTTTAAAATCTTTTTTTTTTCTGACTTCTTTATAGAAATAAATACTTACTTTGTTTCTTTTAAGGTCATTTCATAGTCTCTGTGCAGTGTCAAAAGGTGACCTCTCAGAGTACAGTATTTGTCACCAAGGGACTGTCTGGTTTTCAAAGGTAGCAAAAAGTGACATTTGGGGGGCTGTGCTGTTTTCTTCTTCCTTATATTGTAGCTTTTCTTTTTTTTTTTTTTTTTTTTTTTTTTTTTTTTGTTTG